GCTGCTGCTGCTGCTGCTGCTGCAGGTGGGGAGGCAGCAGCGGCTCCTTGCACAGCAGCGGCTCGTGCCCCGGCTGCAGCGTTGCTAAGCAGTCTTGACACTTCCAGTTGGGGTGGTGGCAAATGCTGCTGTGGGGCGCAGCAAAGCTGTCGGGCCGCGGGGGGACTGCTGCTGCTGCGCTGCTGCGCGGCCCCGAGAGCTGCAGGCCTTCGGCGGCATCTGCTGCTGCTGCTGCTGCTGCAGCAGCTGCTTCCCCCTCTAGCCCGCCCTCTAAGGGGTACAGAGGCAGCACTGACGAAGGGCTGAAGGCGGGGGGAATGCCTTGCAGCTGCGGGTGCTGTGGGCTCTGCTGCTGCGTCTCCTGCTGCTGCTCCGGCTGCTGCAGCTCCTGCTGCTGCTGCTGCTGCGGCTCGTGGTGGTGCTGCTGCGGGTGCCTCTGCTGCTGCTGCTGCCGCCGCAGCCCCCGCGCCTCCTCCTTCCACTTCTCTCTCGGTACTCTGCAGCTAAAAGAATTCGGGTTTTGTCTTTCTTGCAATTCAAAAGGAAGTGCAGCAGCAGCAGCAACAGCAGCAGCAGCTTTCCCTCTGCACTGTACATCCACATGAAATGTCTCCTTCTCCTCAGGCCCTTCTCTCCCCCGCGCCCCCTCGCCCAGCGGAGACCCGATGCCCGCAGCAGCAGCAGCAACGCCAGCAGCAGCAGCAGCAGCAGCAGCGGCGGGGCCTCTGCTGCCGCCGCCGAGCAAATCGCCTCCCGGCCCTCCCCCGTCTGGCGCAGTGCTCACTGAAGAGCCCAAAGTGCTGTCGGGGTATTCTGTGAAAACAAAAAACAAAAAAATAAAATAAAAAATAAAAATAAAAAATAATAAATAGTCGAAATTTTCAATTCTTGCTGCTGCTGCTGCACCTGCAGCAGCGCCTACGCTGCTGCCCTCCCTTCGCACTAGTTGCCAACGACTCTGCAGCAGCAGCACCAGCTGCTGTTGCAGCTTCCAGTGCTGCTGCTGCTGCTGCTACAGCTGGCAGTGCAGCAGGAGCAGCAGCAGCAGCCGCTGCTGCTGCTGCAGCCTGCTCTCACCGCCGGCTAGGGTGTCTAGAGAAGCCCCCGAGTGTCCCCTGGCAGCAGCAAGTCCCTTTCTTGCTGGAGAGCTGCTGCGGGGAGGCCCAGGAGACTGCGGCTTTTGCTGCAGCTCTTCGTCTCCGTGGGCGTGCCGGCAGCTGCGCCCCGCCCTGCAGCGCCCAGCAGCAGCAGCAGCAGCAGCAGCACCAGCAGCAGCAGCACCAGCAGCAGCAGCACCAGCAACACAGCAGCAGCAGCACCCGCAGACACAGCAGGTGTACGTACACCTCAGAAGGCCATTCAAAAGCCCCATTTGGGGCTTTGCTGCGCATGCAGAGTTTTCGTCTCTTTGTGTCTTCTTTAGCTGCCTCCTCGAAGTGCTGCGCTGCGCGTCTCCCTCCCTAGCTAGCTACCTAGCTAGCTAGCTAGCCAGCTAGCTACCTCACCGGCTGCACCAGCCCGCTCGCTAGCTAACCAGCCAACCAGCTATCTATCTAGATGTCTAACTAGCTATCTAGCTACTTATCAATCTGGCTAGCTAGCTAGCTAGCCGGCTAGCCAGCTAGCCAAACCAGCCAGCAGGCTAGCTAGCTCGCTAGCCCAAGCAATCCACCTCCCCACCTACCTATCAGCTCCCCACCAAACCAGCCATCCACCCAGCTAGCTCCCCAGCTAGCCACCTAGCTAGCGCCCCAGTTAGCTACCTAGCTAGCTGCCCAGCTAGCTCCCCCGCTAGCCACCTAGCTAGCTCCCCAGCCAGCCACCTAGCTAGCTCCCCAGCAAGCCACCTAGCAAGCTCCCCAGCTAGCCACCCAGCTAGCCAGCTCCCCAGCTAGCTACCCAGCTAGCCAGTCCCCCAGCTAGCTACCTAGCCAGCCCCCCAGCTAGCTACCTAGCTAGCTGGCTAGCTAGCTAGCCAGCTGCCCAGCTAGCTACCTAGCTAGCTGGCTAGCTAGCTAGCCAGCTGCCCAGCTAGCTACCTAGCGACCCCCCAGCTAGCTACGTAGCTAGCTAGCCAGCTGCCCAGCCAGCCGCCCAGCCAGCCGCTTAGCCAGCCCTCCCTCCCCCCAGCTAGCCACCCCGCGCAGCCAGCTCGCCACGCCCCGCCCGCCAGCCCGCCAGCTAGCCAGCCAGCGAGGCCGCCCACCCGCAGCGGCCAGCTAGCCAAAAGAGACAAAGCTGCGTCTTGTAGAGCCCGTGGGGGGCCCTCAACTCGTGGGCCCCGTGGGCGAAGTTGCAGTTGGCGTTGCTGCAGCGGCCCTTTTGGAAAGAAAGACACAGCCGCGTTTTGCGCAGGTTGAGGGGCTGGCGCACTTCGCTGGCTGCATGCGCGTAGCTGCAGCCAGCCCCGTACTTGCACTGCCCGCGCGCGTGGAACGCGCACATCTTCGTTTTGAAGAAGCCCTCGCCGCGCCGCTGCTGCTGCTGCTGCTGCTGCTGC